AATAAAGAAAAATATATTAAAAATTACTGTTAAAATTGTGATAAATATCAATTGTGCCATAACATAAATTAGTTTACTACTGGTACCTATATAAATACTTGAGTTTAAAATTTGTAGCTGTGAAATTAACTACAATAATTTGTATTTATTACAATATTTAACTGAGAATTGAACTTTAAACAATGATAAAAATAATTTACTATATTTTTTTACACATAAAACAAAAATCACCCAGCAGCAGAACTTAATTAAATTAAACTAATTAAACTAATTAAATTTTCGCTCCCTCCTCAGTATATTTTGAACTTTTCAAAACTATAAATAAATGAACACTATAATAATATAATACCTGTATTATACACCATTAACTACCATATTAGGTATACTACAGTCAACAAAAAAATGATACAAAGTGATTATAAAAATTATAAGGGTAGAAAATCACCTCCTCCCCCCACCGAAACTAATTCGTTGATACTAATACCATTTATATACAAAACTACATCCATCTGGTTTCATTTAGGGGTCTGTAGGAATGTACAAGGCTTAAATAACATATTCCACATTCAACAACTTGGTGAGATTTATATTGAAATTTAACTAAAATTGTATCTTTTTCATCAATCTTTAAAATAATTATCTAATTCTCGATTTTAAGTCTATTTTGCTAAGGGAGAGCTCCTAAAATTGTCTAAAAATAGTAAGAAATAGATATATATTTATATATAACAAATTATATATTATAGCTTCAATAGTTTCTATTTTTACAGAAAATTTGATAATCCTAAATAGCTATTTATAATACTCAAATACCACCAGCAAATTTTCGAAAATATACCACATTTAGAAAATGATAGTCAATGTTTAGTTAAAGTTTTAGGTCCATCATAGAACAATTTTTTTTCACTGATTTTTCATTTGTTATTATAAAAAACCAAAATTTACAATAACCATTAAATACCATTATTTTGTAAATATTTTTTTTTTCCATTATTAGTTTGTATTAAGAAAATTTCAATGAAAATTATAAGTTAACCTCTCAATGATCCTACCACATACAATTTGATACTTCAAACCCCTGGAATTTTTAAACATATCAAATTGTTTGACAAATTCTTACTAGAAAGTAAATATATACAATATAAAGCACATATTATCACAATATAACCCGAACATTACTCACTATGATTAGAATCTAAAAAGTGTAGACATTTATAAGAAATTTATTATTTACTGTGTAAATTATATTTATTAAATTGTGTACCTTACAAATTATTCTAAAATTTGATGTATTTTAAAAACACTATAACTTACAATAATAATAAATGTTGTATAATGATTTAAAATATGTAAATGAAAATAAAAGATAACTATTATAATAATTAATTAGATAAAGATAATTAACCAAGAACTATTCTATTTATCTATATCTAGATTTAAAAAAAAAAAAATAAATTTGTTTATTAACCTAAATTGTATATTAAATCAAAAAATTAAATATTAAATGTATAAAAATATAGAAAATCAATACTACATTTATCTAGATTTCATTTAGGTTAGATATATGATTAATGGAAGTTAATAAATGGTTTATTAAACCATAATATGAACTAAATTACTTAAATACTTAACATATTATTTCTAATTATAATATACTTATAAATTATTTGTTTAATCTTTTTAGATTTAACTACATAAAACCCAACAGTAAAGTAACATTTAACTATTTAAGTACACATCAAATCGTTATCATATTATGCTATTTACTTTGTATTAAACAAGGTTCAAGTTAAATTATAATAAAATGTTATGAATAAGTCAATGAGTGCAAATAAATTGACATTTAGCATAGTTAAATTTATTGATACAATGAACTAAACTGCATTTGTACATCAACATTTATAACAATATTATGTACCTATTGTACATAATATTGGTACATATTTGTACATACCTATTGGTAATATTACCTACCAAAACTGATATTTAAATAAACATATTTTTATCATATTAATAATTATAATTAGGTACCTATAAAATGAACTTTTGAAACAATTTAATATTGACATGTTTTCATCTAGATATGAATTAATTAGATATGTATCTACCTTTTATCATTTTAAAAACAATTAATTCAAATTGTATCCTTATTTCATACACCATAAACATACTATACCAACTATTCATTTTAAAATAACAATCCTCCACCCCAGACTAATTTTCAAAAAGAAAATTTGTATAAACATTTTGATATTCATAATACAATTATTTGTATTTACCTTTTTCCAGTTTTAACAGTTTAAAATTTAAGCCAGAGTATTAAAACAAGTTATCAACCGAAAATGGTATTATTATCCATCCATCCTCTAGTGAAATTTGTTAATTATTATAATTTATAGGTGGTAAATCCAATATTAATATTAGGTATGCACATTAACATTTATAAACACTGTTATTTATTAAAAGATATTTAGGAAAGGAGTAGTTTTCTTTGATTAAAAATGAATACCTATTCCAAGTATATGGATTCCGAATAAACATTTAAACATAGTAGTAATATAAATTTTAAAGAATGTAATTATTATGTAATTACATGATGATTGAAAATCAGAAATATTTATAATATTTGTATAACTTATATGTAGGTAATCTAATTTTTGAACTTTTAAAATGTTTTTTCTTATCCCCTTATTATTTATTTTATTACTTTAAGAATATTGTTTTAATAAATAAGTTTGGTAGTGATTACACTACCTCCCCATTTTCGCGCCTTGGAGAATTGAAGTTAGTACAAGTTGTAATTTTTCTGTTTTTTATAACTAAATAGAGCAAAACTTCAAAAAAAGCAACACAGTTCAGTTAAGTTATAAGTGAAAAGTTGAGAGGGAAAATATTATTTAATTTATACCAGAATGAAATGAAAAATCATCAGAAACAAAAAAGAATTTCAAGAGAATTTCTTTTGAATAAGTTTTAATAAATTTCAATTTAAAACTATATAAATTTGAAATTATACTTAGATAAAAACAAATAAAAATGTGTATCTACATGAACACGAATATTTGATCACATAAATTAGCTATTTATAACCCAAAAAGTTCCAGAATATTTTGAAAATTATACCATGTCTAGAAACTATGAATATAAGTGTTCAGTTAATATTTCAACACTTGAAATACAAAAGGCATGAGACTACAAAGGATTGAATTAATGTTTAAGTATAATTCTTGGTGGGTGTTACTACTGGGTAAACTCTCTAATCATAAGATCCATTGTGAATTATTATTTTTGTTCCTTGTCAGATCTACTTAATATACAGAATTGTATAGATTGTAAATTTATTGACTTAATACAAAAAAAATATACATACAGTGTCTCCAACCATGTTCAACGGATTTTTCTAGTATTATGAATATTACATATTTCCCCCCCCCCCCGGTTTCTTTTTTTTTCAATCAATTTGTCTTCAGGGGGGGGGGTTGCAAAAATTTGGAGAATAATTAAATTTTTATTTTCATCCTCTTAACACAAAATAAAAATAAATAAATTTATATATCACTTTATTTATTCATTTTAGAAAATTTTTAAAATGGCTATTTGTAAAAAATATTATTTCAAAAATTTGAATTTATCATACATTCATATTTTATCAATAATTTCTTAGTTTAATTAGGCGTGAAAATAATTAATAGTTAATAAAACAACATGTAATGCGATAAAGAATTACAACCAGCCTGGTAATTATTATTTCCCTTCTATTGATTATTAATTTTCTCACTCCTATTTTCTAGAAATTAAACCAACTATAATTTGAAACTATCTATCAGGTATAATACATTTCAATTTTTAGTATGATATTTTTTACAAAATGACCATTTTGAAAATTTTCTAAAGTTAATAAATAGTTTTTTTTTTTTTGTGTGTGTTTAGGAGATGAAAATAAGACTTTCATTTATCTCCAAATCAATGTCCCTCTAGAAAATAAACCTATTGAAAATCAAAACTTTTAAACATAGTGGGACACACTGCATATATAATAAATAGTTCTTATATTCTTAGTACATATTTGGAGCAGATGATTGTTGAGGGTTTTTTATTTTGTCCATGTTCTTGATCATAATATCCATCAGTAATGCATAACTATCACGTATTTCTTGCATGGCAATGGAAAACATAAAACACTGTCTATTGTCACAGTTTTCCACAGCTTGTCGATAATCCTCTATATTGGGATGGTTCAAAAACTGAAACATAAAGAACAGTTTACAAATGATATAAACTATTATTTAAATAAAATTGCAGGTCAATCATATTACAACTAAAATGAAATCTAGACAATGGTGTGTTAATAATTTTATTGAGGAGCTAAAACTTAATATAAATTCTTGGGTAAGACAAATATATGTTTTAAATGTGTCATAATACATGAAAAATAATCAAATATTAAGTAAAATATAAAATTAACTTATTGTTCTTATTTAAATTTGTCAGTCAATACAAACCTTATTCATAACAATAGTTCGATGTTCATAATAATCATGAAATCTTTTAAGATTTCTTACTGTTTTTTTATGAACAGCATTTATTGCTTTAAGAATATCTTCTTGAACACCTATACCAATATTGTTACCATCTTCCATTTTTGGAACTAATAAAGTTACCCACAAATATAACTGAAAAAAAAAATTACATTATATTTTATAATACACAAAATTAAATTGTATAATATAAAATATTTTACTTACAGCATTGGTGTCTTCATGTAGCTGTCTCACAGAGGGTTTCATAATTTCGAAAATTTCATTAAGCCGCTGGTTGCATGGTACGAAGGGCAGTTTTAGAATTGCATCATTTAATTCTGAATCTTTTTTCTTATTAACTTCAGTTTCAATATCAAGTTGATCATTATTAATTTGATCATCACCAAGTTGATCCTCATCAAGTTGATCATCATCTCTGTAATCAAAAAAAAAATTTAAATGTATTGATTGATTTTATCCAAATTGTATTTAGATATGTATAACTTTTTACCACAATCAGTAGTACAATGTACATAATGTACAAATTTTAATCAACTCACTTTTCTTCTAATGTTAATTCATTAAAGGCACAATTTAATTTCATTTTGGAGATATCAAACTGTGGCATTTCCAGTATCTCATTTAAATGAACCATTCTTTCTGAAAATTTGTTTAAAATATTCTCCCCCTATAATTTATATAAAAATTAAAATATACAAATTTTTCTTAACGAATATAAATACATGTTTAATAAAGTTAGGCATGAAATTATCAAGCAAATATTATATTTATACTTTTTTAACAAAATTCATTAATATTTAATGTGCATTTATGATTACCTACTATCTGGTGTAAATTGATAGAAAACAACAATGTCTAATATATTTTATGAAAATAGTTATTTTTAAATAATGATAAAATTAAAATATACAAATTTACAAAACATAATTATTATTTAGTATAATTTAATAATACAACTATACATGAAATGTTTTTAAAATGTTAATAGAATACAAAATATGTTAATTCCTGACATAAGCATGATTTTAATTATAATTTGTGGAATAAATTATCACAAATATCTGGAACATAAGAGTAAAAAAGAGGTTTTAATCCTCCTTTCTAAACTAGTTAAAATTCCCCCCAACCTAAAAAAACTAGACTTTAATACAAAATTAAGTTATTCATAAGTTATTATTTAGTTATCCACCATGTTATAATTAAATAAAGTAGATTAATGTTTTAAGTTATTGTTGGTTAAAATGATAATTCATTTAAATAAACTTACTTTACTATAAACCCAATTCCACTAATATAGGCGAGGTATAATATTATATTACTTATATGAGTTATACATACTATTAATATTTTGTATTATGTAATTAACTAAGTATCTACATAATATTAATACAATTGAATCATTCAAGTCACATTTATAATAATGCTTTCAATAATAAATTAGGTATAATATTAAACATTATATACTATACTAAAATTATGGTTATAATACATACATTCTCCTTAAATATTGTATGGATTTCTTCAACCTGTAAATATATTAATGGATTAATATACCTGTTAATTGTAATAATTTTGAATAAAGGTTAGAGGCCTCAATATTTGTTTTTAAATTTTAATTGTATCCTTCTCATAGGTAGAATTTTATTTTTTTTTTTTACCCTTCAGCAATTATTCTAAAATATTTACTACCACAAGTACTACTCCTGTAGAATTTATTTGTATTATGCGTTTATAAATAGTTGTGGGAAAATGTAAAATCCATATGCAATGACGTATTAAATGTTTGGGTAAACACAAGATACTTTTTGCAATACTCAAAAACCGAAGCATCTTAAAACGAAAAATTAAATAATATGAAACTGAATCATGTATAAGTTATGAGGGTAGATACTGTTAGGGTGGACACATGTTACTTATGTTTTTCAACAATATTCCCGATTTAAAAAGGAAGAGTTTAATATCTATATCTCCTGTGCCGTTTTATAACTTTTAGAACAACGACATGTCTATTGTTTGAGAATTAATCTATGCATAGGAAAATAGTAAATACTGAATTATAAAAAAAAATAATAAATCCGCCAACTAATTTCCAATATCTTTTGAATTACCTACTAAATAAAAAAGTTTCAATGAGGTACAACTATTGTAACAGTAATTTTTGCCTTACCTTGTTTAAAACTTCTGTGTTATTAGATTCACTCATTGTACTTCGAATACTAAAATTGCTGAAACTGATAAATAGTATTCTTTGGCTATATATTCTTAGATACTCCAGAATAGGAATTAAAAATAATATTAAGTCTAAATGAGAGATTTTTGTTATGTTATAAATACAATATTAATTTCAAGAAGTACTTTTTATGACTAAAAATCGAATCAGCGAGTGCTGCACCACGTACAACAATTACAAAAACTCTGAATGAATGACTGAGTCAAATGCATAGACAAGTATACTACCTTTTATTACGTTCCGCATCCGCCCTATAGTTTTTAACACGTCAGCTGCTTGCTTGCAGTGGGCTCAGAAACCACAGAACAAAATTATTGTTGAATAATTAAAATAATTTTACTAAATATTATTCTATTAGTTATTTATTGTATCTGCCATGATAAAACATAAAAAAAACCTACAAAATAATAAATAATGGCAACTATTTTGTTGAATTTATAATTAAATATCATTGTTTTGAGGGTCAACGAAATAACAAAAAAAGATGGAGGCTACGATAGTGCGACGTTGCCGTTGGGTTAAGCGACAGTGGACGAGGGTAGTCGCCACACATAGATTTATTATTGGTCGAAAATCAGAGGGTTTAATGAGGCGTGGGTGATGGTGTGATAAACGGCATCTAGCAAAAAGGCCATCGTGATGTCACTAAACATGGTATTAAATAAACTTGGTTATAGAAATCGAGTAGAAAAAGTGTTCACATAAAAAAAAAAAAACATATCTGAAAAACCAATGTTTTCTTAACTCAGAATCTAAAAAAAAAAAAAGATAACTGTTAAAAGCACGGAGGTATATATTGACTATGTACAACAGCAAAATTTTTTTGTAATTTATGTCCCGGTGATGAGGTCTTCCTTATACGTGCGCACCTTATAGCGCGTTATAGAGTCTACATGCTCAGAGTTATCAAGAAATCCAGATTTCAATGCATAATTGCATAATTTAAAAATATTAAGATAGAAAATATCGAAAACAAATCTGTTATACTTTGAAACCAATGAAAATGTATTGGGTCATGTTATCTTGTCCTGTTTTTTTAGTGATCCCTGGTTTGATATTATGAATTAGGCAAGTATGTACAGATTTTTGTTTTTCGTTAACTTTTTGTCACAAATTGTAAATTGTATTTCTGATTCCATTATAATACATAATAATACGAACAAAAATAAATAAATTTTAAAAANATAATAATAATATTGTATAATAGGATACATTTAAAAATTTGGCGCATTGCCGCATTCAATTATTAATCTATGATAACAGATATGGTATAAATTTAATATAACCAAGATTAAACTATTAAGTGATAACGCAGTCAAAACGGTTGTTGTT